CTAACAGGCTGTAAGTATACAAAGCACCCCACTTTTCTCCATAATAAAAAGGACCTAAGGCAGCCTAGGTACATTAACAAAAGACAGTATTTAAAGGTAACAGGCTGTAAGTATACAAATACTAAAAAAGATCAAACAAATACCACACTAAAAAAGTAAACAAAAGCAACACCAAAACACATTCAAAGCAGTAAGGTACAACAATCCATTTCAAAAGCCCCACTCAGGCAGCCAGTCACTAAGAGAAAGCTTTCCTAAAGAGAAAGGTCTTCGTCTGTTTGTGGAAGTGCAGCAAGTATGGGGCCAGCCTGGCTTCCTGTGGGAGGGAGTTCCAGAGTCCGAAAGCAGTGACATGCTCCCATCAAATACACCTGTGAAGGTGGTACGACCAAGAGAAGTACTGGCAATTCTTTCCTCCAGTAAGAGAGATATAGCTACACCACGTTACAGCTATAACATCTTCACTTTTCTGGTGTAGTTGCATTTTTTTCCAGTTACATATTATAAAAGTTATTCTTATAAATTGGGAGGGTGCGGCTTCTGTAAATGTTGGAGGAGGAATATCACATGGTTCAAGCATCGGCTCGTGATATACTTTGTGCTACTGCAGCAAGGAGAACCTGATTATACTGAGCAGCAGGAGGAGTGTTGAGCACACTTCTAAGTTTGCTCTGATTAGTCCTGCCTACCTAGGGATCCCTTTTAAAATATTGTATTGAACTTGGACAACACAGAGAGGAAAGATATTTTAGGCTGCTTTATGTCCTCACAAGTCAACAGGGCCAACCTGGATCTCTACAGACTAATCTGTGTCGTTTGCACTAGTCTTCCAAATATGTCCACAAATTTACTAGCCTACCTATGCAAAAATAGCTTATATCAGTCATTTGGGGGCCTCAACAGAAAGAAGAGTCAAGTTTGTAAAGATTCTTTGATGAGTGCTCTCAGCAATTCAAACTGGTAGGAGACTGGAATCTAGCTAATGAATAAGCTAGTATACATACCACCTTTAACCTAAAGGGTGGTCCCAACAGAGGTGTTTGTGTAAGGCAGAGAGAGGCACACACAGAAAGAAAAATCTTCCCTTTCTGAGCATGCTCCCGCTGGCTTCTTATTCTACACTATACAATCAGTGTAGTATAGTAGAAGGAGAATCAGGAGGTTTTCCTCTTGGTCCCACCACCTTAACAGGAATGTTTGGTGAGGACTCAGGAGAGGGCCTTCTCTGTTGCTTCTCCCAAACTCTGGAACTCCCCCCCCCCTGGAGGCCAGCCCAGCCCCATTGTTGATGTCCTTCTACCAGCAGGCAAAGACCTTTCTATTCAGGCAGGCTATACCTTGGGGACTGACTGTCGGAAAGGGTTTTTTAATGGATGGTTTTGCCTTGCTGTTTTTGAATGTGTTTTTGGAGTCAATTTTTTTACCACATTTATTTTACCATATTTAGTGTGGTATTTGTTTAATCATTTTTAAATATCTGTATACAAACTGTTCAGAAAGCACCTCCAGATAGCTTTGAATGAGGATTAGACAAATACATGGATAAGAAAGCTTCCTATGGGTATGATTACAATGGCTATACACTACACTTTGTTCTCCCTGACCGCATGGTCTTAGGGGGTGGGGTTTTAGCTTTAAATGAGTGTGAACAGAAGCTCTAAGCCATTTTCCTGAAGAGAAAGCTGAGGCAGGAGGTGAGCTGTGTTTGGGAGGACATTTCATTTGGTGAGGTATTTTCTTCTAGGCTTACCTTTGTTTTCCCTGACCAAATGGTCTGAGGGGGTGGGGTTTTAGCTTTAAATGAGTCCGAGCAGAAGTGCGCACCTAACAGCCCATGAAATTCTCTAGTTCTATTTTTGACTCTAATCTGGTAAATAGGAAAGACAAATAGCACTGCATACACCTGGGGGGCAGGAAGGTTTTAGGGGTAGGATCATACTTCTGCACTATTAGGGAGCA